TGCTCTGATAAAAACAAAGACTCCGGCACTTAAAGGGATATCAAGAGATTACGGAAGTGCATAAAAGGAAGGATAAGATTGTGGCCTGTGGAGATTATGCTTCATAAAGCACTCAGGCTCTAAATCCAAGGAGCAGGTTTCCCTCTTTGTTCGTTAAATTCTGCTGCTTGTTGCGGTCGAAGAGAGTCGTGTCGATTCAAAGACAAAAACAGATTTTTCTCTCATGTGTTTTGACTATTTGTGGGGTGTTCAGAGCAGAAATGTTCAGTAACGAAGTAGAACTACTTAAGTAGTGTACTTAAGTCCCAAAATGCAGTATCTGTACTTTATTGGAGTATATATATATATACATATTTTTGATTATTTCAATACTTTTACTCATTGGGCGATAGCCTATCAAAAAAAAAAGCCTCCCGAAAGATTGTTAATTATAGCTTTCAAAAATTCCCAATCTAATCTGAAGAAGCATATCAAGGTAAATAAAAAAATACAAAGACATATAAGGTAGTAAATAAGCGCTAGTTCAGTTCTCCCTGTTCACTCAGGACGTAGCAGCTAATGTTAGCTGAAGCTAACCTAGCTGGCTAGCTGTATGATGACGTTAGCTAAAGCTAACCTAGCTGGGTAGCTGTATGATAACGTTAGCTAAAGCTAACATAGCTGGCTAGCTGTATGATAACGTTAGCTAAAGCTAACCTCGCTTGCTAGCTGTATGATAACGTTAGCTAAAGCTAACCTAGCAGGCTAGCTGTATGATAACGTTAGCTAAAGCTAACCTAGCTGGCTAGCTGTATGATAACGTTAGCTAAAGCTAACCTAGCTGGCTAGCTGTATGCTACATGCTAGCATAAAGGCTCAGCTCAGGATTCTGACTCTGGAATAATAAATAATAGCAGATGAAGTGCTGTTGATGCTAATGCAGATGTAGTTTTCTGTTTTTTGTAAACACCTGTATGGCCTTTCACACGTTTGAAATAATATAAACAATGTCTATCACACTTTTGACTGCCTTTTTTAATATACACAGTACTTGTACTTTTACTTATACTTGTACTTTCGATACTTGAGTAGCAATTTTTGAAATACTTCTACTTGTAATGCTTAAGTACAAAAAAAATGGAGTACTTCCGTACTTCCACTTAAGTATGTTGTTAAAACAATACATCAACTTTTACTCAAGTTAATTTTTTATGTAGTACTTGTACTTCTACTGCAGTACTTTATAATCTCTGGTTCAGAGGGGGCTGGAGAAAAGGCCAA